TAGTCTAGTCTATAGTCTAGTCTATAGTCTAGTCTATAGTATAGTCTATAGTCTAGTCTATAGTATAGTCTATAGTAGTCTATAGTCTAGTCTATAGTCTAGTCTATAGTCTAGTCTATAGTCTAGTCTATAGTCTAGTCTATAGTCTAGTCTATAGTCTAGTTTATAGTCTAGTCTATAGTCTAGTCTATAGTCTAGTCTATAGTCTAAGTCTATAGTCTAGTCTATAGTCTAGTCATTAGTCTAGTCTATAGTCTGTCTATAGTCTAGTCTATAGTCTAGTCTATAGTCTAGCTATAGTTCTAGTCTATAGTCTAGTCTAAGTCTAGTCTATAGTTAGTCTATAGTCTAGTCTATAGTCTAGTCTATAGTCTAGTCTATAGTCTAGTCTATAGTCTAGTCTATAGTCTAGTCTATAGTCTAGTCTATAGTCTAGTCTATAGTCTAGTCTATAGTATAGTCTATAGTCTAGTCTATAGTATAGTCCTTAGTCTAGTCTATAGTCTAGTCTATAGTCTAGTCTATAGTCTAGGTCTATAGTCTTAGTCTATAGTCTAGTCTATAGTCTAGTCCTATAGTCTAGTCTATAGTCTAGTCTTATAGTCTAGTCATTAGTCTAGTCTATAGTCTAGTCTATAGTCTAGTCTATAGTCTAGTCTATAGTCTAGTCTATAGTCTAGTCTATAGTCTAGTCTATAGTCTAGTCTATAGTCTAGTCTATAGTCTAGTCTATAGTCTAGTCTATAGTCTAGTCTATAGTCTAGTCTATAGTCTATAGTCTAGTCTATAGTCTAGTCTATAGTCTAGTCTATAGTCTAGTCTATAGTCTAGTCTATAGTCTATAGTCTAGTCTATAGTCTAGTCTATAGTCTAGTCTATAGTCTAGTCTATAGTCTAGTCTATAGTCTAGTCTATAGTCTAGTCTATAGTCTAGTCTATAGTCTAGTCTATAGTCTAGTATATAGTCTATAGTCTAGTCTATAGTCTAGTATATAGTTAGTCTATAGTTGTCATAGTATAGTCTATAGTCTAGTCTATAGTCTAGTCTATAGTCTAGTCTATAGTCTAGTCTATAGTAGTCTATAGTCTAGTCTATAGTCTAGTCTATAGTCTAGTCTATAGTCTAGTCTATAGTCTAGTCTATAGTCTAGTCTATAGTCTAGTCTAGTCTAGTCTATAGTCTAGTCTATAGTCTAGTCTATAGTCTAGTCTATACGTCTAGTCGATTCTAGTCTATAGTCTTCTAGTCTATAGTCTCGTCTATGTATAGTTCTATAGTCTAGTCTATAGTCTATAGTCTAGTCTATAGTCTAGTCTATAGTCTATAGTCTAGTCTATAGTCTATAGTCTAGTCTATAGTCAAGTCTATAGTCTAGTCTATAGTCTAGTCTATAGTCTAGTCTAAGTCTAGTCTATAGTCTAGTCTATAGTCTAGTATAGACTAGACTATAGACTAGACTATAGACTAGACTAGACTAGACTATAGACTAGACTATAGGACTAGACTATAGACTAGACTATAGACTAGACTATAGACTAGACTATAGACTAGACTATAGACTAGACTATAGACTAGACTATAGACTAGACTATAGACTAGACTATAGACTAGACTATAGACTAGACTATAGACTAGGACTATAGACTAGACTATAGACTAGGACTATAGACTAGATAGACTATAGACTAGACTATAGACTAGACTATAGACTAGACTATAGACTAGACTATAGACTAGACTATAGACTAGACTATAGACTAGACTATAGACTAGACTATAGACTAGACTATAGACAAGACAATAGACTAGACTATAGACTAGACAATAGACTAGACTATAGACTAGACTATAGACTAGACTATAGACTAGACTATAGACTAGACTATAGACTAGACTATAGACTAGACTATAGACTAGTCTATAGTCTAGTCTATAGTCTAGTCTATAGTCTAGTCTATAGTCTAGTCTATTGTCTAGTCTATAGTCTAGTCTATTGTCTTGTCTATAGTCTAGTCTATAGTCTAGTCTATAGTCTAGTCTATAGTCTAGTCTATAGTCTAGTCTATAGTCTAGTCTATAGTCTAGTCTATAGTCTAGTCTATAGTCTAGTCTATAGTCTAGTCTATTTTAATCTAAGTAGCCGAAGTATCCAGCTTGATGAGAATGTAGGACGAATGAAGGATTTTCCACAAACGAAGGTATCCATTCAACTCTGACTTAAAGGAATAGCAACTAAACATTATCACGCCACTACTCATACATATTATTTTTTTAATATAAAACTTATTCTAAATTTCGATTTAATATAAATATATTTGTTTTTGTTTTTTTTTTTGAGTTTAACTTTTTCTTCGTTATATTTTTCTAGTGTGTAATTTTTGAATTTTATTCCGAAAGGCATTTTTAGTTGTTTAATTTAATTTTTTCATTTAATTTTGTTTGTTATGTCCTAAAATTTAATTTTGTTTTCCTAAATGTTTATTTTTTATCCAAAAAGATTTTTTTCTCAGTTTTGTACATTTTCTTTGTTTTTTTTTCTTTCAATTTAATAATTTAAAAATATAAAAAATAATTTATAAGTAAAAAAATACATAGAAGTATAATTTTGGGCACACATTTCGTAAATTCATTTTGATTCGTGTTTTAATTTGTTTTTTTTTTTCTTTTAAATTTTTGTGTTTTTTTTAAATTTTTTTTCTTAATTTACAGTTTAATTAAGTTGGAATGCTTATAAAATAAAAATTATATTTTTAACTAAATAAGTAATACATTTTGTAGAGATCTCTTTTTAGGTTAGTTTATTTTAAAAAATATTTATTTATTTATTTTGAAATGAATCTACATTAATTGATGAATGGTCATTTGGTGATTTCAAGTAACTGACCATATTTTTCATTTCATTCTAGCATTAGATTTATTATTATCTCTTCTTAGAAAATTCATTCATATATTGTCAGTTACGTGGTCTCATCTTATCACCATCATTCTATTGCATTAGTATTGCTAAAATATTTACATATGTCTGTGTAAATTTGTATGTATGTAATTGTTCCGAAATTAAATTTTGTATTCGAAATTAGTAGCATCATTCAATGATTCATTCAATTACTTTGCATTAAAATTTCGACTTCTCACAAAATTTCTAACTTTTCAGTAAATATATAATTTTTACTAAAAAAAATTTCACTAAAAATTCGATTTTTTACCATAAACGCGACTTTTCGATAAAAATTCGACTTATCATCAAAAATGAAAATTTTCATTTATTATTCGAATTTTTCAAAAATACAAATTTTCACGTAAACCAAAGTTTTCACTAAAAAATCCGATTTTTCGTTAAAAATTCGAATTTTTACTAAAAATACGACTTTTTACTAAAAATCCGATTTTTCATAAAAAATTGGACTTTTTATTAAAAATCTGAATTTTTACCACAAATCTGAATTTTCACTAAATATCAGAATTTTCACTAAAAATGCGAATTTTCCACAATAATGTGATCTGTGGGCTTATAGTTATTTAGAAATATCTGATAGAAATTTAAATTTTTGGAATAAAAGGGAGAATCTTTGAACTAGAACTGAACTAGAACTGAACTAGAACTGAACTAGAACTGAACTAGAACTGAACTAGAACTGAACTAGAACTGAACTAGAACTGAACTAGAACTGAACTAGAACTGAACTAGAACTGAACTAGAACTGAACTAGAACTGAACTAGAACTGAACTAGAACTGAACTAGAACTGAACTAGAACTGAACTAGAACTGAACTAGAACTGAACTAGAACTGAACTAGAACTGAACTAGAACTGAACTAGAACTGAACTAGAACTGAACTAGAACTGAACTAGAACTGAACTAGAACTGAACTAGAACTGAACTAGAACTGAACTAGAACTGAACTAGAACTGAACTAGAACTGAACTAGAACTGAACTAGAACTGAACTAGAACTGAACTAGAACTGAACTAGAACTGAACTAGAACTGAACTAGAACTGAACTAGAACTGAACTAGAACTGAACTAGAACTGAACTAGAACTGAACTAGAACTGAACTAGAACTGAACTAGAACTGAACTAGAACTGAACTAGAACTGAACTAGAACTGAACTAGAACTGAACTAGAACTGAACTAGAACTGACTAGAACTAGAACTGAACTAGAACTGAACTAGAACTGAACTAGAACTGAACTAGAACTGAACTAGAACTGAACTAGAACTGAACTAGAACTGAACTAGAACTGAACTAGAACTGAACTAGAACTGAACTAGAACTGAACTAGAACTGAACTAGAACTGAACTAGAACTGAACTAGAAAACTAGAACTGAACTAGAACTGAACTAGAACTGAACTAGAACTGAACTAGAACTGAACTAGAACTGAACTAGAACTGAACTGAACTGAACTAGAACTGAACTAGAACTGAACTAGAACTGAACTAGAACTGAACTAGAACTGAACTAGAACTGAACTAGAACTGAACTAGAACTGAACTAGAACTGAACTAGAACTGAACTAGAACTGAACTAGAACTGAACTAGAACTGAACTAGAACTGAACTAGAACTGAACTAGAACTGAACTAGAACTGAACTAGAACTGAACTAGAACTGAACTAGAACTGAACTAGAACTGAACTAGAACTGAACTAGAACTGAACTAGAACTGAACTAGAACTGAACTAGAACTGAACTAGAACTGAACTAGAACTGAACTAGAACTGAACTAGAACTGAACTAGAACTGAACTAGAACTGAACTAGAACTGAACTAGACTAACTAGAACTGAACTAGAACTGAACTAGAACTGACTAGAAACTAGAACTAGAACTGAACTAGAACTGAACTAGAACTGAACTAGAACTGAACTAGAACTGAACTAGAACTGAACTAGAACTGACTAGAACTGAACTAGAACTGAACTAGAACTGAACTAGAACTGAACTAGAACTGAACTAGAACTGAACTAGAACTGAACTAGAACTGAATCAGAACTCAAACTAAAATTTCGACTTTTCGTCAGAAATTTGGTCTTTCGGCTTTTTGTAACTATAAATATGAATATTTATATGAAATTTAGATTTTGAAAGAAAAGAGAGAAATCTTCGAAACATCTTAACTGACATACATACAAATAAAACTTATTAGTTCTATTCACAATCGGTGTCGTATCGTTGTATCGTCGTTGGCGATAATATTTTTATAATTGTTTTGTTTCCACATTTTTGTTTTTAATTTTTATGACTACGATGCAAAACCGATAGTGAATTGGACAATTGTGATGTATAAAATACTTAAATACTGGAACTGGATGATTATTTATAGTTGTTGTTGTTTTTGTTGCTCGATCTGTTGTTAAAAAATATACATACATAAGTAAAAGTATTTATAAATACATAAATATGCATATGTATATGTATGTATTGTATCATCTATTTCTATCTCCTTAATCGCTACTTGTCGTAATAGGTTCGAGTTTAATCCCCGTGGAACTTATGTTACTTGATGCGGATGCTGTACTATCAATAGCTCCGGCTGATGTCGCCGTTGTTGTTTGTGATGTAGCCGCGGATCCTGATGGCTCTGAGGAAGATGCTCTGACGGTGGCTGTATTAATACTGCTAGTGGTAGTTATTGTTGCTGTCGTAACTGCTGCTAGAGAGGATGACGGATGTGTTGACGTTGAGGGAGATCGTAAGGGTGAGGCCGCAACACCAACAATATCGGATATATCATCGGAAAATAGACGGGAGGGTGAAAATGGTCGGGTTGGTTTAAAACTCATTTCTAGACCAAGTTCCGTGAGGGGAGAATGTAAGGGCGTCAGACTGTGGGGACTGTTACGTCTGGACGGCGATGAAGTGGAAGAGTGTGGTTTTGTTGAGGTTGCCGTCGTTGATTTTTGTAGTGAGGGATGAACGACCGTGTGTGAGGGAGTGCCGCCAACAGATGTATGACTCAAGGAAGTGCCGTGTGGACCAAATGCCATTTGATGTTGCTGTTGATGTTTTTGTTGCTGCTGGTGAAGAGCGTGCTGCTGTTGTAAGTGCAAATGTTGGAGTTGATGTTGTTGCTGTTGACTTAAAACGGAAGAGGGATCACATCGACCACCAGGACCACTGCCGGCCATATGCAAAGCTACCGCCATACCAGGCGGCAGTTGTGGCATGCCCGGTAAAGTGGGTCCACAAGGTGAAGGAACATGTCTTGGCCCCATCATTGCGCTCATACTAGCGGTATTCGATGAGGAGCTTAGAGCCGGAGAAATACTGGCTTTGGGAAGAGGTACTCCTCCCGAACCAGGTGGTCCCGACATGGGTCCACCGCTAGTCATATGAGGCGGAAGATTAAATAGATTTGGACCACCATGGCTTTCGCCCATCTGCTGTTGCTGTTGAGCCGCCGCCGCCATTTGCATTTGTTGACGTATATTATGAGCTACCGCCGCCACTGCTGCGGCTGTTGCCTCTTGCGACATTTGATCACCAGTGGCCCCCGGCATTCCATTTGGACATTGACCACCTACACCAGGATAACTCAATGGTCCCTCCTGAAATGGAAAAACAGGCTAAAAACAATAACAAGAGTTAGCATGCAATGTCTGCTCTTAGTGAATTGTCTCTTCAACATCACCTACCGAATGCCGTCCATAGGGCATGTGCGCCAGACCTTCATCCTTTAGATCTTTGGCATCACGGAAGACAACGGTTTTTATGACACCCTTGATATGTTCATCTGGCCAGATGCCCAGCAGTATGCGTTGTGGCCGTCCTCTGCCTTTCGGTCTTAAATCGGGGCCTCCATCAATCGAAGGTCCCAACATATTGTGCACTCGATTGGCATAGAGAACAAATGTGGGATAAGGTATATCATACTTTCGTGCCGCCTGTGAAAGTGACAAACCTTCTTTTAGTACACTAAAAATTGCTTCTGCCATCGTTTCAGGTCGCCATGACTTTAAGGGACCTCTTTCACGAAATCGCAAATGATGCATTAAACTCTGATTGGTGTTCCAACATTTTTGCCACATAGACTGTAGTTGATATTGATAACTGTCTGCTAATAAATATAAAAAAATCGAAAATATGTTTTGTTTTTCAAGAGTTTTCCTTAAATATGCAAACCTGCTATTGAGGAACCTGAAGCTCCCATCCATGCATGCGAGTTTTCCAACATTTTCGCCTGAAAATAAAATGTTTTTCTTAGTTTTTTAAACAATGATCTAGTTTGTCTGCATATATTTATTATAAAAAACTTATTTAGTCAACATCAGACAAAGAATATTCAAATTCAAACCCAATTAAGCCTTGAATATTTCTCTATTTGGTATATGTATGTATATTTATGCAACTGTTCAATATATTGACTTGCTAATTTGACCTGTATTTAAAAGGAATCTTTCGTGAACGCACACTCTATAAGAGAAATATGTATATGTTTAGTTGTGATTGTGTACTCCTCTCGTTTGTCATCTAAGTTTGATACTTGTTCGAATCTAAAAAGTTTTGCTTACCCAGCAGACATAAATATTTTAATATTATTTGAGTTAAATGTTAATAAAAAGATATTTCAAAGAGCATTTTCGTTTAACTAGGTAATCTAACTCAAGGGTGTTCGAATCAAAAGCAAAAAATTTCGAATTTTTACTTTTCAAATTGAAGTCCGCGAGTGTTTGCTGGGAGCTTACAAAATACATTCGTCAATGAGCAGAATGCATTTTGTTCATAAATGTTGAAATATTAGAAAAAAAAATGGATTCATCAATTGCTTACAACTTATATGATACCTTATCTGGAGGAAATATCCTCTAAATTTAATTCACTCCCTGTTGGAAACCAGGCGATTGTTTGTCGATTTCCTATCGATTCTCGGACCTTTGGGCATTCGGGGAAATTAAATTGCCAACGAATACGAAATTAACGGATCGTCCATGAACGAAACTATGTATATTACAGAGAAATAACGAAAGTACTCTGGCTGGGCTTTATCACAGAAAACTACCTTGAAGTTCTTGATAGAAATTCGTTATAACTATACCGTGCTATTCACAAAATTTTCGTAAATATTAAAAAAAAAGTATTTACGAAATTTCTTTCGTAAAATTAAGCTTGGACTATTTTCAAGAATCTAATCAACTTTGTTTCTTTCAGGGACAACAGGAACCAGAAGAGGTTATAGTTACCTAGCAAAAACATGTTAAGACTTGTTACTTACTTTTCAATGACTACTACATACCGTCTGCTTTACTTAGAAGGAGTCTTCTAAAGTCTTGTAAACTGAACTAGAACTGAGCTAGAACTGAACTAGAACTGAACTAGAACTGAACTAGAACTGAACTAGAACTGAACTAGAACTGAACTAGAACTGAACTAGAACTGAACTAGAACTGAACTAGAACTGAACTAGAACTGAACTAGAACTGAACTAGAACTGAACTAGAACTGAACTAGAACTGAACTAGAACTGAACTAGAACTGAACTAGAACTGAACTAGAACTGAACTAGAACTGAACTAGAACTGAACTAGAACTGAACTAGAACTGAACTAGAACTGAACTAGAACTGAACTAGAACTGAACTAGAACTGAACTAGAACTGTACTAGAACTAAACTAGAACTGAACTAGAACTAGAACTAGAACTGAACTAGAACTGAACTAGAACTAGAACTGAACTAGAACTGAACTAGAACTGAACTAGAACTGAACTAGAACTGAACTAGAACTGAACTAGAACTGAACTAGAACTGAACTAGAACTGAACTAGAACTGAACTAGAACTGAACTAGAACTGAAACTAGAACTGAACTAGAACTGAACTAGAACTGAACTAGAACTGAACTAGAACTGAACTAGAACTGAACTAGAACTGAACTAGAACTGAACTAGAACTGAACTAGAACTGAACTAGAACTGAACTAGAACTGAACTAGAACTGAACTAGAACTGAACTAGACTGAACTAGAACTGAACTAGAACTGAACTAGAACTGAACTAGAACTGAACTAGAACTGAACTAGAACTGAACTAGAACTGAACTAGAACTGAACTAGAACTGAACTAGAACTGAACTAGAACTGAACTAGAACTGAACTAGAACTGAACTAGAACTGAACTAGAACTGAACTAGAAATGAACTAGAACTGAACTAGAACTGAACTAGAACTGAACTAGAACTAGAACTGAACTAGAACTGAACTAGAACTGAACTAGAACTGAACTAGAACTGAACTAGAACTGAACTAGAACTGAACTAGAACTGAACTAGAACTGAACTAGAACTGAACTAGAACTGAACTAGACTGAACTAGAACTGAACTAGAACTGAACTAGAACTGAACTAGAACTGAACTAGAACTGAACTAGAACTGAACTAGAACTGAACTAGAACTGAACTAGAACTGAACTAGAACTGAACTAGAACTGAAACTAGAACTGAACTAGAACTGAACTAGAACTGAACTAGAACTGAACTAGAACTGAACTAGAACTGAACTAGAATTAAACGTTCCATTGAATCAATCCTTAGGTTTGTGGATATAAAAGTTATGGGAAATACTTGTGTAGAAAGTTTGTTTCACATATAGAAGATTGCTTCCTATAGTTGCGCATTAATCTGGCCAATCGACAGAGAATGTTTAAGTTCTAGATAAAAGGCGGGTATTCAATGTAGAGTCCTGCTTTTCCGAATTGGTTAATATATTTGGAAATTAATTTATTATATTCAAATGAAGATTTTTTATTATAATATCAATGATGCAATCCATCCATGTTGAGACGTTGCTTCTCTGCCCCTTCATTTACTTTGTCTGGAAGCTTTGGCAATGGGGCTGCCTGTATATCGGTACATTTCGGCATTCTTAAAAGTTCTGTATTTATCTGACTATTATCAGTCTATAATCCAAACGAATTACTGCATAACGAATAGCAGCAATTCGTTTGCAATAAGTATGTTTTTTGCTGGTATATTGAATATATTTTGACAAATTGAATCTAAATGTGGAAGGATAATGATAAATCTTTAGTTTTAAACATGACATTTCATTGTTACGTAAATTTTTAAACTATATGGGTACAGCTTTAATGTTAATTTTCTTAATATAACCATAATAAGATATTGTTAATATTATTATTTATTTATCATCAATAATAGTAATAATAATTTTATTTGTAGTTGACATTCACCCGTAGAGCACAAAAGAAGGTGTTGTGCGCTAAGATGGATTCAGAAGTCTTTGAATCAAGTAAATATATTGCATAAATAATACGAACATATACAATTTTATATAACGTCTATTCATACATATTAATAAATAAATGTACATATAAATTATGTAAAGGGGCATTTGTACATATATTTATATTTATGCATTTGTTGTTGTTTATTTTAAGCATTCGTTGTCGGAAATTGTACGACAGAACGGGGCTTCATAGGCAATATTTGATGTCCTGTGATGTGTTGCGTTGCGTTAGTTATGTTGGTAAAGTTAAGTAAAGAGTATAATATAATATAATTAAATTTTCTACGGATTATAACATTTGAAATATTAATGCATGTCTGTTCTTGTTGTGATATACGAATAAATCAAATGTTACAGAGTTGAGTGGCCCTTTATGGAATTAGATTTGTATTCTATTCCCTTGCATTTAAATACATATTTGACAGTCAGAATGTTTCTCTTTTGTGCCCATTAGAGAAAAGTATTTCACTAATTATCGAAATTATGCACACGATGCACACTCACATACGAACCCAAATATTTCTAGTGCATGTATGTAGTTTCGTATAGATTTAGATGCACTTCTACAAACCAACACTCGAATATGATTGCACCTCGATTCAAATAATGTCACATAAATGGCGTATACAAATACACCATAATATTAGACATAATATTACAGACATACATATGTAAATTCGAGTGTTCAACTGCCCGTTAGGTTTTAAAAATATCATTGTTCACCTTTGCTATAGCAACAACTATATTTCGAAAGGATTTCCTAGAGAATTTTTAATTCTTTACTTCTCTCAGCATTTCCTTTCCTACAATGATTTGAAAAATTACATGCCACCAAGCAGCCACCAATAGCTAGTAAATGTCTATGTTAAATACACCATTTTAAGACTTTGCAAGTAACCACGAATGTTAAAGATTAATACCTCTTAAACTCCAAACACTGTCGGTTACTCTTAGGAAAAAACACAATACATAGATACTATAGTATGTGAGTGTATATGATTACGTTATATGCTAAATAATACTAGAGAATACGACATACTGTAGTATTTGTAACTGGACATATACATTCATACACACACGTACTTTTATCACTCATACCCTCATTATATAGGCGACAGATCGGCTGGACTAATAACAGTAATGCATGTGGGCCGCTGGGCTGTTTTTAGCGCTTTTTAAATAGACTTTAAAGACAGTAAATTTGCGCTGTAAGATTTTAAGGATTTTGTGTTTTGTTGTAAAATTATTATTAATACGAATTAAGAATTTTAAGATTTTTTGCATAAAAATAGAAAAATACGGAGTTTTTAAAACATTAGACAGTTCTAAACAAATGATTTAGAAACCCCAAATTTTAGTCATGTATTTATTACTAAGGGGTTTCATTCTAGTTTAGTTTTAATGCTTTTAATCCTCTCTTTTTTAATAAAACCTAACCTAGAAAAAGTATCGTCTGTTTTCTATGTCATGGGCGACTAGACAGCGTTTGTTTCTCTATGTTAAGGGTGGCTGATAGTCCATTTTCGAAATCCAGGATGCATCTGAATTAGTTGCTTTAGAGTCAGTAACGGACAAAGAGCGACATTTTCAGTGTCTTTGGTATGGAGAAGAATAACGTGGGTACTCACGCGGATACCACAGGAATCAGGATAGAGACCGAATTAGCTTTTTAAGTTCATGGAATTCGAAAACTAATGCGAATGCTTATTAGATCACGTATGGGGTAATTCGGACTCAGGATTGTACTGTGATTACGACTAACCAGATGGATCTCGTGTTTGGTTAACTGGATAGGGTAGTTTATGATCGGACGTAGACACCGAAAGGATGGACCTAAATACGCGTCCGCCTATGAATCAAAAAGACTGACGGGTTCGTAACATTTTCATTTCACCGAGCGACCTTGATTATAGGAACCGTTTGTTGTTGTTGTGGAGGACTGG